AGAAAGAAAGAAAGAAAGAAAGAAAGAAAGAAAGAAAGAAAGAAAGACCTCAGTAAAAGCTGTCTTTAGAGGAAAGGGGAGGAAGGAACAACAGTTGTAGAGAGCAACAGCAGAGGAAGAGAGGTCCCAGCAAAAGCTCTGCTCTCAGCATTTAACTAGAGCATCTGCAAGACCCTGACTTAGAAAGAGCTCTGAAGTTTCCGTGGCTTGGTGCGTAGACCTCAGTGAGTCACATGCCTGGGACAGTCTGGGTAAATGTCATAGAATTAGACTCTGAATCCTGGCAAGAGAATACCTCTAGGTTGAGGAGAAGAAACGGAATCAAAACTCGACAGCTCAGGCTGGAGAGATGCTCAGTGTTTAACAGCACTGGCTGCTCTTCCAGGGAACCGAAATTCAATCCCAGCATACTCATGGCAGCTCGCAACAGTCTGCAACTTCAGTTCCAGGGAATTCGATGCCCTCTTCTGGTCTCAGCAGGCACTTCATATACATGGTGTGCAGACATACACGCAGGCAAAACTCACATATACAAAATAAAATATAAATCTTTTAAAAGAATGCAACTCAATGAAGGAAATCCAGTCAGAGACAGAGCCTACAGGGTGACATAGACACAGGTTCCAGTCACATACCAGCCATCAGAAATGACAGCCCAGGAACAATCAGCATTCTCAACAGGACTCCTGAATGACTATTCTGAAGTATGACCAGCATCTACACAGCCTTAGCCATTGTAAGTGGTTTGAAAGAAAATGTCTCCCTAAAGGGAATGGCACTATTAGGAGGTGTGCCTTTGTTGGAATAAGTTTGGTCTTGGAGAAAGTGTGTCACTCTGGAAGTGGGTTTTGGGGGTTCCTATATGCTCAATGAAGTGAAATATATATGTGTGTGTGTGTGTGTGTGTGTGTGTGTGTGTGTGTGTGTGTGTGTGTTTGCTAACTCAGACTACTGTACCCTCAAAGCTACATGTCATAACTGAAGGAGAAAGAAAAAGTTCCCATAATAAAATTAGGCTAAAAGAAATTCATGACCTTTAAGCCAGATTATTATTTGGACTGAACTTTGCCAAGATGAGGAACAGCCCTTCAGAATATCCTGCTTCACAGAAAAGTCTGTCAGATATGCTAGGCCTATAGGCTGAAGAAGGATGCCCCAACATTGCAGAGGAACCTTGGGTGACTGTCCTAGCAGCCAGCTGTTTCTGTCATTTCTCACATTTTTGGGAAGTCGCTTGCTTGCACTTCCTGCTTACTCAGATACTATTATTTCCTTCTTGGGTCTCTGATGGGAGTTGAAGACTTTATAGCTATACTTATAGTTTTCCTTGTTACCAGATTCAGAAAAGAAATTCACTAAAGAGGTGTAAAGTGTATAAGGTTGAGAGACATTAAAAAATTGTTTTAGTAATGCAAGTTAGAATAGAAAGTGAATTAGGTACAACTTTTTGGACTCATCAAGATAGGATAGATAAGGAGTATTTTCTCTGACTTTGTCAGTTATTAACGGACTAGGCATTGTTGATGCATTTATCACCTCTATATATTGTATATAGTTATTGTACTTAGTATATATAGTTTTTTATTGTCACCTTTTTTATTTTAGACAAGAGGGAAAATGTGGTGATATCTTGTTTGTCCTCTACAAATAAAACTTGTCTGAATATGATGGGCGGAGCTAGCCACAAGTTAACCATAGAAGTCTGGAGGTCTGTACAGACAGAAAGTGATATGGCTAGGTGGAGAGAGGAATATAAGGCAGAAGAAGACAGAAAGTTAGCCCTTTTTGGCTGAGAGGTGAGCAAGGTAAGAGTTGGCTGTGGCTTGCTCCTTCATCTCTCTGATCTTTCAACATTTGCCCCAATATCTTGCTCCAGTTTTTTTATTATTATTAAGACCAACTAGAACTCGTGCAACACTTATGGCATTGATGCATTCTACTCACAACACAGTGTACACCTTTACAAGAAACTGGAAATTCTAGAGAGTTCTTTGTAGGGAAGATATAGTTTTCACATAATTTATGGTCAGATTAGCATACTTAAGGTCTAAGTTCTCAAAAAGCACATTCAGAACACATAAAAGCAAACAATATAAAATATTCTTTATTGTACATACACCTTTTAAAAATGTTTAAATAATTCAGTTGGCCTTAAATATATTTCTTGAATTCAAAATTGCTGAGGTTTCCTGGGACAATCTTTTCATGTCTCACAGCCTAGACATGGTCTTAAAGCCAGGCCATACCCTCTTGCAATCACTGTTTTATGATTTCTCAAGCATGAAGCACGCCTGGTCTATCTCTGACATTTCCTAAACACAGCAACCGACACACGTCTACAGAAGACGTCCATCCATTTGGTTGTTTGTTCAGTTTTAGCACACACACAAAGTCATCACCAAGCCTTCTGCCTTGAGAAACATTTGCTGATGGATTTGCTTTTCTGTACAGCCCCCTCTCTCTTTACCCATATAAATGCCAGTCAATATGGGGTTTTCACAGTTGCCTGGGCTTGATATTTTCTTCCCCAACCCTTCTCTATCTTTGTGTTATTAATACTGCTAGGTTCCCCAGTGTCTGAATGCCATTGGGGTCTCCCTCCCTGCATCCGGAGGGTGCACTTGTTTCCCACACAATGTGAGACACATCACCAGGGTCCTACTAGTCAAGCTTTATAAGTAAGATAGGCCG